TTTTTTCCACCTCGTCTTTTCTTATATCCCCCAGAGGAGGAAGTCTTTCCAGGGTACAGTCAGTCAGTGATACGAGCATGAATCCTTTAGCTTCATTTTATCACAAACCTTTGATGCCTCCTCTTGCTCTCTGGTTTATGTGGCTAAGTGGCTTTTGGAGTGGCCTCTGGACCAATGAGACATGAGATATGTGTGAGTCTTTGTAGTTTTTTAGGTGTGTGGATAATTCATGTGCATCTGTCTTGGCTGTATATTTGACGCTTCACAATTCTTAATGCTACCTATTGTTGAACTTCTCGGGCCTGGTGGAACAAACGAAGAATCCCTGCGAAACTTTTGTTACGTTGTAGAGATTTAAAAAAAAATCTAAACAGGTAATAATAATTTAAAGTTTACATGCTGTAAACCAGCCATTCTGATTAGGACCACGGTGTTCATGCATAAAAAGAGCAGCTGTGGTAACATGCACAGTCTTGCTCACTGCAGCAATAGCCCCATACAGATATTTCATCTGTATGGATGGGTTGTATATTTAACAAAAAACATACAGCTCAATTGTTCCTAAAGACTAAGACAAATATATATCAATGAAAAACTACAGCATTCCTGGAATGTGTCTGATTACATTGGTGATAATCCCTGATTAGAGGTGTACTTTGAAAGGTAGTAGGTAGTAGGTCAGTAGATTCTTCTTTTTTCCCCTACCATTTTAACTTTGACCATCTTCCTCTGACATTATTGACACTGTTGTTTATATCTTGGTCTCTGTGAAGTTGTCCTATATTTCTTTTATTTCCTCATCTTAGGCATATAAGCATCTCCTCTTCTTTCTACTCTTCTCATGGCCTCAGGTATGGTCAGCCAAACCAAGCGTGACTGTTGTAATCAGTGGGAGAAAATAAGCACTCACACATTAAGTGGCACACTGAGTGCATGTGGGGAATGGTGTGTGAGAGTAAAGTGATAACAACCATATAGATGTGGTTATAAGTGGTTTGTGTCACAACTTACCTAGTTATTAAAATTACATAGGGTATTTTTCACCAACTGCCCTCTTACTGTAGCCTCCTACACTGGTCCTTCCTGAGGTCGGGCTGCTCCGGGGTTACATCTCCTTCCCCGCATGTCTTCCTCATTTCCCTCCTTTGAGCCCTCTTCTTAGTTCCATCCTTCCTCCCTGATCCCACTCTTCTCGCTTCACCACCACAATGCTTCCTCTACACAATTAAACTACAGAGACAGGACTTCAGGGGACTTTCCCACAAACATCAACGTTTTACAGATAGTTTACAGCAGAGGTCTCAAACTCAGATGAACAGAGAGCAACTTCTTCCACTTTCATTTTATTAAGGGGGTCATGAAGTGGGTGTCACACTTGTTTTCACCATACATACTGTATATGTATGTGTGTACTGGTATGTACTGTATGTGTCTATATATATATATATATATATACATGTATATCTATAGATAGATATATATACAGTAGCTAGACAGACAGACAGACAGATAGACAGACAGATAGATAGATAGATAGATAAATGTATATATGTATGAATATATGTAAATGTATATATCTAAAATGTAGCATTACATTTATTCATTTTATTTATGATTCAAATATGTATCTTATAAAGATAATAAACCCAACATTTTTATCCATAATCAACTATATACTGTAAATAATTATTGACTCCTAACATTTTAAAAAAGTTATTTATGCATTATTTTGTCTTGAAAGGTCTCTCAGAAATTGCAGTGGCTGCTAAAATCAGCAGCAGTAAATATGTTTTGCTTCAGGGTGAGAAATACTGCAGAAAGATGTGCAAACAAAGCATGTCAACCGTACAGGAGGCAACAGCAGATGTCAAAACACAAACAGACCCAGTTAAGTTTGACAAAGTCCATATTGACAAAAATAAAGCGTTTCACCTCATCAGTAATCACTCCGTGTTGCTGTGAGAAAAATGTGCATTTATGTGTTTTAAGTCTTTGCCTGGGATATGCAGTAGCCTGGGTGACCTGGGTGCTACATAGAATAAATATTGACATGTAGGTAATATTATTTCAAATATTCGAGTTTATTATGGCAGGTTTTGCTTCACACTAGTTGACTACATCCTGATTAGCTGCGTGTTTCGTCGTCTGTTTCAGTACTTATCTTCTTGTCTGCTGTGTCCACCGTTTTTTGTGTCTATTGAAATCCAAAAGCCAGTGTGATGTTGAGGTCACTTAGTGCAATAATAGATTGTGTAACATTTCTTCACACTAGATAAGCATTGCAAACATTCTTGTGCTCATGAAGCCTGAATATTTAATTCAGCTCAGCCTTCCTAGAATCCTTTTCCATGTTTTTTTCCTCCCTTTCTTTCTACGTGTCTTTGTTATTTGACAAATCCACTCAACGGTGTTTCTCTCATGACACATGCAGGCTGACAATAAAGCCACTCGGTGTTGCTTCCTGCAGGCATTTCATTAAAGCACTAATAGCACATTGATAATTAGGTGACAAAGAGGCTTTTCTGTTGGTGCTGATCAGCTGCTGAGGCGTTGTTGTCCTCAGAGGCTCACACAGAGGCTGATTGAGGTGTGTGTGTCCAAATACACACACACGCATCTGTGTGTACACCTTGTTTGTGCATTGAACATCACATGTGTTAGCTTTAAGGATTCTGACATGGTTTACAAAACACAAATAAATCTTTGTTTTGTTCCCTGCGACGTTGATTTTTTCTTTCTGTATTGTCACCCCAGTCTCCTGTGAGGGAAAGTGATCGTTCAGCATCCAACTCTTGCATTCTCTCCACTTTTCTCCTTCTTTCTTTGTCCCCATAACTCTCTATCCTTTTATTTCCCATATCAGATGGTACTGGAACCACCTGAGGCACTGAACAAATAACGTACTGCAAATGAAATTTCCTGCGGGCCTTATTGAGGTTATTAAACACTAGCATACTGAGGCCCAGAATCGTTTTATTCTTCACCAGAGTGGCTGACATTTGAGTGAATTAGCTAAAGACGTACACGCAAACACGCACACTCATATGCAGACAAACAGACAAGGTCAAATGTCAGAATTGATCATGTCATTTCATCCATCTGTTGGCCTATGATTAGCTTTTATATAAATAAAACTTTATGTATTTAATGATATTTTAGCATCCCGTTGGTAAACTGGTAAACAAGATTAGCCTTTAGTTTTTTTTCCTTATATTAAAGTCAATGACAATGTGCTAATAATCATAAAAATGTCCCATATGACCTAAAAACCTATGCTTTTGAATATATTTGCCTTTGTGTTGGCAGTTGTGTGGATACATGTCTAAATATGTTAGCGCTAATTGTATATATTGCCGTCAGGAATTTGATGGAAATTGAAATTTTATGTTTGTTAAATTTAAGCATGTAACAAGGCATATAACATTTACATGTTTTTGACTTTCAACATTTTGTTTGATTCAGTTGATGTAATTGTAAAAATGACTATTTGCTATTGCACAGCTTTACAGTTTAAGGACAGCTCCCCTTTACAAATGAGACTTAGGGTAAGTGGGCAGTGTCATGCATACAAATTGAGAATTTGGGATGACAAAAATAAAGAACAGGAATTTCAATTAGCCATCGTTAAATTCATAGACATTAAAAAGGAAGTAAAATGCGGGCAAACAGTCTGCCACCAATGATCTGGTTGTGCAAGCGCACTTTTCATTACCGTAATTGTGTTGTGGTTAGTACCTTTGGAAAAAAAGCCAATGGTTTGTTAAAGCTGAGAAGGTGGTTTGCAGGTAACTCATTTGTGCCCGTACCGGAGAAATTTTTAGGTTGAATATGTAGTTTTCAAAAATAAATGACAGTGCTAAATAGGAAACATTTTCAGTCAGTTATCTCAGTAATAAAGGTAAAAACATACATTTATTGGTGCTCTAGGTTTGCATTCTATCAGTGTTATTTCTCATCATAATACAAACTAAGAGCATACTGTCTCAGAATGTGACACTTCTTGTTTGGTCAGTAGAAAATGTGATAATGGGCTCCGACAAGCTCTGACGCACTCTATAGCTGCTGGTTCCATGGTGTAATGGTTAGTACTCTGAACTTTGAATTCAGCACTCCGTGTGCAAATCTCGGTGGAACCTCTTTTAATCCTGGGTTTGATTCCCAGAGAAACCACAAACTGCAAGGTGTAGCCTGTTATATCAGACCTGCTGGTAACACAAGACATGACCAAATGTGGGAACAACAAAGTGTCCTTAGTTGGTCTGATGTTTAATGACCTCCAAAGACTTCCAGGGTGAGACATTACTGCAGAGCATCACCACATGTTCCTCACTTGTCTTTCTGCGCTGTATGGATGTGTCAATTACAAAGACACTACTGCAACAGCAACAGTGTCCTGTCATTGGTTATTGCTTTTATTGTTTTTTTCTCTTTTTTTGTGTGTCTTTTCCCTAACAGCAGATCAAAAATCTGAATCAGCTCCACAAAGTGCTTTTCTGTCATCAGTATAAAAAAGAAAGGGAAAAAAGAAGAACATGGAAAAGAAAGTTGTTAATGTCACTGAGCCATGAAAGCTTTGGCCCTAGGTTGGAATGACTTTTTGTATACAAGGTTCTTTAGTGCTGTGGCTGTAGGGATAAACATAACTTACATCAGCCCTGCGCTTGTACAGGAGATTTCCTCTCCTGGCACTTACAACCTCGACACTGTGATTCACACAGTGCAATGTGGAACCTTTCAACTAGCTACTGTATACATGCACACACACGCACACACACCGACACACACCAGAGGGTAAACAAGCATTTTGAATGTAGTACTATGAGTATTTTTTATTCTGTTTGCATGCATGTCAGAGGGCTGCTATTATTTGCTGCCACACGCTCACACAGGTTGTTTGGCTTTTTGTTGTATATTCATATTAACAACAGCAGAAGAATACTGCATTTATGAGTATAATGTCTGATTCACACTGTGTTTGTGTTCTCTTTCTCCCTCTGTAGATTATCACTCAGTATGTTTATGAGCTGCTGGAGAAAAAGTGCAACATGACTAAAGCATCCCTGCCAGTAAGTACTGAGACTGTGAAAGGTGGCATTTTTGCCTCTTTGATTTATGTCCTTGAAGATTAAAGGGGGTATTAAATATGAAAATGGACATAAATGCTCTGGCTTCAGTCTGTGATTATAGTGAGTTCCCTGTTTTAAAAAAGGGTGGAGAAAGGAAAGAGGATTGCGAGGAGTCAGCTTTTCTCATTTGTCTATCATTCTTTGTCTTTCTTCTCTCTGTCTTACTCACTTACTCTTTAACTCTGTCTCTCCCCCCTCTCCCGCCTCTCCCCTGCGTCCTCACATCCTTTGTGTAAAAGTGTCTCCTCAACAAATTAACTGTATTGTGACGTGTCATTTCAAAGAGCCGGCGTGCTGATGTTTAATCTGTTTTGCATTCATATGCACAGAAGGGGACTTCTCTCAGCCATGGTGGAGTTATTCTTCAGCAGCTCATCCAGGCTCAGAGCACAGTCTTGATCCCCTTTTATTTGTTGTTGGAAGCATTTTGTCTCTCTTTGGCCCCCTCCCTCTCCTTTACCCCCCTCCATCCCTGTTATCTCTCTCTCTCTCTCTCTCTCTCTCTCTCTTTCTCTCTCTCTCTGTCTCTCCCTCTCTATTTCCCTCCCTCTCTCTCTCACTTTCTCTTTCTCTCTCTCTCTGTTCATAAAAGTTGTGATCATTTTTCAGGCTGCATTTATAGAGATGTTAGGCAGCTCTGGTGTTTAGGAGTGCAGCAGAGTTAGCTCCGACGCTAACAGTGTCCATAAATCACTTAGTCAGGGACTCAGCGCCTTTCATTAGCCCCCATACACTTTTACTGGTTTATCTGCCTGCCCTATTTATCTTATTATTCCTCTGGAAAATTGCTCTGTTCTGCCTTTCTGCTGCCCACCCGCCTGCGTGTATGTTGCATTTGTGTGTGCGTATTTGTGTGCTAGCGGTGGGTCTGTCCACCTGCGTGGTGTTGAACTTGTGACCACAGATTTTAAGAAGATTAACCACAGCCATGTATAGAGAGAGGGGAATGAGGGAGCAAAAGAGAATAAAGGGTGAGATTTTCTCCCTTGCTCGCTTCTCTTTGTCTGCTTGGATTAAGTTCTTGCAGCTGCCACCCGTGGCTTTTATGGACAGTGTTTGTCTCCTTAAAGATTCTTCAAGCTGTACTTGGGAGGGATGCAGGGAGCAATAGATATGTACTGAACGAAAGCACACACATAGAAATACACATTTTTTATTTTCCTTTTGCCCATGTTAATTTCAGGCCATCAGAAACAGAAACTGTGAGAATTACACTTGGAAAATCTGAAAAGCCCTTTAAATTTACATGATGACAACTTTGATTACCAGTGTAAAAACAAACTTTTGAAATGTCTGAGTTGGATAGATACATAACAGAATATTGAACCACTGTATGTCATGCAAAAATATTTGGTTTGATTGAAAGTTAATTACAAGCACATCCTAATAAGATGGAACAGCTGCTTGTGCCGGTCTTTCCCGAGCCTTAAAAAAAGTCCGTACTCGTCAGTCTTTGTCAGAAGGTGGATTAGGATTAGAAACAGGTTGTTTTGATTCCAAATATTTTAAATATTTATGATCATCAAAAAAAATAAAAAGGAAGATTTTGGAGATTTTACTTCTCACATTTAAACTGATTGTTTTCGGCGTTTTTTCCTCATAATCAAGGTGGATGCCTCGGAAGATGAACCCACCAGTTTTATTTACCTGAGCCCAGATGCCTTGTCCAACCCCTCCAAGCTGCTGGTGTTAATCCAGGGCAGTGGTGTGGTGCGAGCAGGTCAGTGGGCCCGAAGACTGATCATCAACCAGGACCTGGATTCAGGGACACAGATCCCCTTCATCACCAAAGCCATTGAGGTAGGAAAGCTTGCAAAGATGGAGCACTTCAGATGCTCCTTTAAAACACAGTCTTGATTAGTATTTCACCAATTTCACAGAAATTTTACTTTTTCAGTCCTATTTTCACTTCCCTTCTCCCTCTTTCTTATAAGTTATAGGCACCAGTTTATAAATGCTTTGTGGAAATATATGAATCGGTAAAACACTTTTGCTCATCACCTATTGGATACACAGATAAAATTGGTAAAATATATCATTAGTTACTTTGTATTGTTAATATAAGCTCAATATAAAATGACTGTTAATGTAACATAACATCACTCCATTTTTCCCTGTCGTATGTCTTCATCTCCATGCTGGAAAGGTCAAATGTCAGTAAATATATACTTCCAGTTATATGTGTACTTACCACATCCTGTAGTAGTGTCACTATTACCACAGTGGCAGTGATCCATAGTCACACTGGAATACTTTGTATTTCAATGGCTGGTTTGAAATTTTTTTTGGCTTTTGATGTTGTTGTTTCACGGTCATAGGTTTGACTGTTGTGGGAGTTTTTTTTCAACCGTGTTAAAGGTTATTTGCTGTTGCTCTGTCCTTGGTAACTTTCACTCTGACTGCAGCTTAATTCAAATATGCTCTAACTTCAATTTACATAACCATGTAGTGGATGGAAAAATCTCTTCCTGGGTCATACTGTGTTATTAAATATTATGACCCTGAACAACTCCAGTAATTCAGTCCTGATCATTTAACAACAGGAGCTTATAATAGCAAGCAGCCCTTCATTCACTGGTGTAGACTTTGTTATTGTTCACATATGGCACATGTGTTAGTAGACAATAGTAACATTAGTTCCCATAACAATTTGTAACGTAACAACTAGTCAAATTACAAGTTTGTTACAAGTAAATGTGGGACTTCTTGGTATTTTATAATATATCATCTGTGTCAGTATCTGTATTTAATCTGTGTTTGAGTTGTAAAAGAGTAGAAATTTGTCATAAAAATATTCACTTGTTTTTTTTTCTCTACTGTATGGTCACAGATGTGTTTATGTGACCCAGTGTCTGTGGTGGAGAAAGTGTCTGGCTGTCTCCCTACTTTTCTTTCTTATCTCTGTGCTCATTTGTCAACCCCGCCACGACTACCTGTGTAATTTCATCAGCCTGCTGTTTAAATTGACTTAGTGGAGATCCCGCTGTCCTTCTCCTTCTCATTTACTCATTTTGTCTATGAGATAGCCAGCTGAGTACAGGAGCAGCAACAATAGTTGTATGAGTGTTAGCCCGGCTTCATCAACGAATGATTCAGGTTCCCTGGAACTGTGTTCTCACAGTGACCGTGGCTTGTGTTACAGTTGTATTAGCAGGTGGAGAGAAAATGACAGCCTTTATATAAAAAAAAAAAAAAAAATGTGTGTGCTTGTATAGCACATAAAGTATTGCTCATTCATCATTGTAAACAAGAAATGTTTCTCTGTTATCACACACTGACAAATTACCATCTAAGGCATTTACTACACTGTAAAGTGTCCTGTGTCCTGCTGATAGACAAGCAGAGATGTTTACAGTCATTCCAACCTGTGCTCAGCTGTTACAGGCATGTTTGTGGTTTATTATGTCATACCATGTAATCTGTCTGGAGGGCTAGTGTGCATGTGCGGGAGACACAGCCCAGTGTCTACAGAGATGTTTTGAGGTTTTGTTTATGGATGTCAGACATTGCCAGCTGTTCTGTAGACTGTGGAGTCTATGTGCTGTCAATATTTGTATGACAATATCCAAGGATTTTAGCTACTGTTAGTTCTAACCCTAGCAAATGAGAAGAACACCTCTCACTTGTTGAGTCACTTGCGTTTTAACTAGCATACAGACACATGTACAGGGGGGGGGGGGGGGGGGAGCCAGACTATTTCAAGTGTTGCAAGTGTTCATTTAAAAATGTATCTGCTTTGTTTTGTGTAGAACTGGAAACATGGATGACCCACCTCTATGGTGAAGTTGGTTTTATTTTGGATATGGCATTACAGTGTTGTTCAAAACCACACACATTATATAAACATGAGACTGAAAGACTGATCATGACTGTCCTTTTAAAATCAACTGTCTGTACATTTACGAGGCAAATGCAGAGCATCGCAATCTGTGCCGATACCAAAATAATGCTGACATCAGTCACTAAAGAAACCACTTAACCCTTGTGAGATGTTACACTTATAACGTATAGTAACTACAGGTTTATTTATAAACTGAGCACAACCCTGCAGGATGAGACAATTTTGGATCTTTATTGTTTAGAGTAAAGTCACGGAATGGTGGATTAATACTGGGTCTGTCCTCATCCTGATGCAGTGGAGACTATAATTAGGCTTGTGCACAAAAGTGATGCAGGAACTCAGCTGGATGTATAGCGCAATGCTCAACTCCTAAAGAAACACTCGACACATGCTCTGGCCAAAATTAGCTTGCTGGTGCTTTTGCCCTCTTTACTCAGATGTGGATCATCCAAATAATTCAACTTTCACCTCACACCTACCTTCACACTTCCTTTATATATTTACCCCCAGTCACTAATCCACCAAAGGTCCGAATTAATCACTCTGACAGATACCGTTTATATCATTCTGATTGGACAGAAACTGCTCTATACATGGAGACAACCATGTGCCAAAGCTTTGCATTAGTTATGCATTCATTCAAATGTATATCCATAGGCAGTGTTCATCAGTGTCTTGCTGTTTGGTTGCTTAGCTTGCTGACTTCCAGCTTATAGCATGTTTTTCTTATTGTAAAAAGATAAAACAGAATGTTATAGCTTAAAAAAAAGAACAATTACAAGACCAAAGTTACAAAGTTAGACCAAACTGAACATCTCCCTAAACACAACACCACTTTAATGTACTGTGGCGACCTAAAGGCATTAACAATTAAAAAGCATTAGAATTGTATAAAGGAAGCTTCTTCAGAACCTGAAAATGTATGCATTATTCCTTTATATTTATTGGATAGTATGATCTTTGGTCCACATTTCTGCTTTCTTGCCAGCAGCAAAGTGAAAGCCAACTACAGTTTACAGTACACTTTACAGTACTTCTCTTCTGTTCTTCTCTTCTTTACTTTTCAGTACTTCTCTTTTGTAAAGTGTACTTATCTTATTCTTGAAACTTGATTTTGACATTTGAAATAAAGTATAAAACTATTAAATCCAAACCAGGTCTGGTTACGTAAAGTAAAGTTAAGTACAGAGAAATTCTAAGTGTATCTGGATGGGCATAGTTTGTGCTGAGTTTACTGTACATGAGATGAAGGGGAATCTCGATGCCCTGTGTATGGGCCCTGGCTATGTTTGTATTGAAGTGCATTTGTGTTTGTGTGTGTGAGTTTGTGCACAAGCACGATGGAAGTGCTATTCCCAAAGCCTTGAGGTAAAGTGACAGGTGAGAGGATGTTGCTGAAACAACAACCAGAGACTGAGGGGGAAAAAAAGGTTGAAAAAGAGGAGTCTAAGATGGAGGAGTAAGGTTTAAGGAAGAGACTGGAGGGGTGTGCAGTAAGTGTTATGATTGGCTGGAAGAGGACAGAAAAAGACAGAAGTAGAAGGGTATGTAGCGAGAATTGAAGCAGGGAGAGAGAAACGAGAGGAGGACGAGGGAGTGACTGCAAATAGGGTGGGACTGGCAGAGAGGACAGACGGGAGTAAAGAGAAGGGGAGAGAGCAAGAAAGAGGGAAGACCGGGAGACAGGGAGAGAGAGAGTAGGCAGAAGGAAGGCGTCTGACAGCTCCACTACTGGGAGAGACCTCTTAATGACAGCTTATTCCTTCATGATTTCAATTCCTGACAGTCGACAGGTCGGCTTGTTGCATCATGGCAGCTGTATCATTACCTTCTGGCCCTGTCACTGCGCTGCATCCTGAGACTGAGATGGAGGAGGTGGAGGGTGGCTGCTTTTGGGATTGGAGGGGATTGTGGGATGAAGATAAAGGAAGGGAGAGAGGGCGATATTGCGAGGTTACAGTAAGAATAATTGCAAAAAGGAGGGAGTACTGAAAGGAAGTATTATTAAAGTGTCTGCTGGACTAGAAGTAAGACTTTCAACAAGTTTGCCCAGAAACTTGTTGATCGCCTTCTCTTCACTTTTCTGACTAAAAAGTTTAATCCTCCAAAACAAAATCCTCTATAGCTGTTATTTTATTTCACTTTTGTATTTCAGTCTTTTTCTGTTAGCGTTTACAAAATGCTGTTCGTTACCTATGGATACAATGTATTCCTGTGCTGTTTCGACAGCCACCATCCTCTTCTAAAGTCATTATTTCTATAAACTCAAGCAGTTACTTAAGCAAATCAAGTTTCTAGATAATCTACAAAAACATTTTCAGAATGATTTCAGTTTGTTTTATACAAAAATTCATATATATTAGGTTAAAATACTCCAATGGGCGAGTTTGAAGAGTGTTGTTAAGAGTGACATAATTAATCTTCGAAGTTTCTGTCTCCCTCCCTGGCGTGAGTCAGGCTGGAGACACTGGAGACCCACTAGAAAGAGAGAGGGGGTGTGGCGTTTTCAAAAGTGTGTCAAAAGCCTTGGGGTTTGTATCTGCACAGAATTTCAATGGGAGGCTGAAAGGGGGCAGCGGGGCAGACAATCTCCAACACTGAAATCCTCTTTTAATTTCTGTCATGCCCCCTCCCTCTTTTCCTTCTCTCTCTCTCCACTCCTTTTTTGGGATCAGATGATGTCTTGTTCAACATTAAATTTGCACTCAAACTGTGGAATCATCTTGTGTTGCGCTATCACTTTGTGTGCAGTTTTTCTCTCATGCTCCCCCTCTCATTATTAACATATCCGCCTCTTTTCTTATTAGTTCCTCTAATTCCCTTCAAGCTGTAAGTTAACGTGTGTGTGTGTGTGTGTGTGTGTGTCAAAGATAATACTGTATGTACAGTGTGTGCACAGTGGGGCAGCAGGTGGCTGGAGAAGTTAGATCATTCCATATAGCCAGGCAGGTTTAGCCTG